GCCAGGTATTCTGCCTATGCTGACGACGTTTCGGTTCTTGTGTCGAGCAGAGCCGAGATTAACGAAGTCAGTAAGCAGATCAGTGGGTATGAGATGGTGACAGGGGCCAAAATCAACCGCGATAAGTCTGTGGGCTTGCGGTTGGGTGCGTGGAAGGGAGTTTCTCTTCCCGGACCTTTCCTCTGGACGGATGGGCCGATCAAGATACTCGGCGTCTGGTTCGGTCCTGATCTCCAGTTGGAAATGAATTGGTCGGAGGTACAAGGGCGGGCCGAGGCCGCGGCTAGTCTGTGGTCTCGGAGGAGACTTTCCCTGAAGGGAAGGGCGGAAGTTTGTGTTTCACACATCTATCCGATCCTCCTCTACCGTCTTTCTGTGCTTCCACTCCCGTATGCCCGACTAATGTCATTAGTCAAGGCCTTGTTCTCTTTCTTGTGGAGAGGCAAGTCCCATATGATATCTCGCGAGTTCTGTTGCCTTCATCCCTCTGAGGGCGGTCTGGGTATGCCTAGCATTGAGATTCGTCAATATATGCTACGCATTACCTTTCTAGACCGAATGTGTCGCGGTTTGGATGAGGTGGGCACCTTTTAGAAAGAAGATGTCCGTAAACATTTCCCATCCTTGAGAAGTGTGCACTCGTGCGAGGAGGAGGCCGGTCGTACTCCTCGTGGCGAATGCTCCTTCTATCGTGAATGTCGTCGTGCTTTGAATTTCCTCTTGCGGACGTCGGATGGCCTCTCCGACGCCCAAGCGTTGTCTCGTTAGGCATTATATCGTTTGTTAGTTAGGGGGTCCGTTCAAGATGGTCTGATCGACGAGCTCGGTCTTACGAAGCAGGAGGCTCGCTCGGTATGGCCTTGGGCGCCTGGGTTGAAATGTCTCAATAACGATGAGGCATCACTCACCTGGCTGATGATTCGTGGGGCCTTTTTTCAGTGGAAGTCGGTAGTGCCGTTGTGCAGGTTTGTTGAAGGCCTCATGGTTCGCATGCTGCAGGGAAAGTTTTTTGTCCTGGAAGCCAGTTCTGTTTGTAGCAATGTGGTATCGCAATTGACGAAGGCTGAACACTGTGTTCTGTTGCTTACTAGGGGTTATGCGAGTCGTGATTTGGACGACGCGACAGAAGGGATTCTATGAAGGCGAGAAGTTCACCTCTTCCCAACTGATCTTGTACTTTAGGCATCAGCTTAAAGTCAAGATTAGGACGGAAAAACGGCGGCTCCCATCATCAGAATTCGGCAAAAGGTGGGTGAATCTTGCGCGAATGTGTAGAGTGAAAGGGCTGACCTAGAGTGGCATTTAGATGTCAGTTAGGCACAGAATATTATATATATATATATATATATATATATATATATATATATATATATATATATATATATATATATATATATATACATATATATATATAATACTAATAATCTGATAGATATAAGCAGCTATACTCGTCCGACAAAACGTTAGGTTTTTTAGCTTGTAAATGAACAAACCAATACCCAAGGGAAAAATGGGTAAAAAAGAAAACACTAAGAACATGTACTTCCGGCAAAAATAATCGTCTACAATGAAAGTTGAGTCTAAAGTAAAAAAAACCTCCGACACAAGTAAAATAAAAGTAAAATAAAAATACCTAAGCAATGTGCTCAAACCGGTAAGTAGAGCAAATCTAACTACGAAACTAAAGAGCTAGAAAAACATACCTATGTTTCACCTACGTGGATCGTCAGGTTAAATTTACCCTGACGATCTGCGTAGGTGAAACATATATATATGCATATGTCCAAGGTCTTATTCATAAACAGTATCAAGATATCGTAAATCTTAAAAAACAGTCGAATTAATGGGAAGATATTTATAATTCCTTGTCGTTATATATACAAACATGTAAAAACACACATATGCACACATATACACATTCACACACACAGAGACATATATATATATATATATATGTGTGTGTGTGTGTGTCTGTTTGCGCACGTATGTGTGTATGTGTATATTGTTTCCTTTTGGCGGGAATAAAGGAGTGTAAAAAATGACACTTTTATTTTTCCAAAAATTTCTACACACCATTCCCGCTAGTGAATAATGTGATGTATGTTAGGCATTAATAGATATGAATTAACAACACCTCAAATGAATGTGGCTAGTGAAGTGGCCAAAATCGCTTGGGAAAATGGACAATGGACAATACACATTTTTTGCCCTTCCTTTGCCCACAAAAACGGAAAAATACACGAATGCCGCAAAAACTAAATAAAAATATTAAATAAATTGTCTTTGTCCGTCATATTCAACTAAAATGTTTAAAAGAAAGGTTGCTCACTATTTACATTATCCCTACTATTGGCCGTCCTAGGTCCACGTCCCATATGAATTGTATGTCAGGTATCAGTTATCTCCTGGTAATTCCCCCTTTTTAGTTCTCTCACATGAGGACAATAGTCCGAATAATGTAAATAGTGTACATAATACATCATCTCTGAAATATAGACAGATACAGAAGTTCGCTGCCCAAATCTAGATTAATATATATATATATATATATATATATTATATAGACAAAAGTAAACTTACCTTACCCGATGCATTTCATCCTCTTGATAATCTCTCTCAGAAGACGAAACACGTCGGCTAAGATAATTTTTTCTTTTGTCCTTATTCATATTGTCGTATTACATATATACTCCATCTGAAAATGTTACGTATATATGATTGTAATATTATAATGTAATTGCCCTCCTTATGTTTAATCTGGGAAATTAACCAGGGAATATTGGCTACAATTGACTGAATCTTACGTACATTATGAAATAGGGATCAGAAAACGTTAAAAATGATTTTAAAAAGTTAAAATTCTATTGAGATCATGGAGTGAATGAATGAACCTGAAAGCATAAAATCTGTTGAAGTGATGAAATCATTGACTGACGATAATGCTGACCAATCACCTACTAAGCCGAAAAATTAGATACGGTCACTTAGGTTTAAAATAATAATAAAATAATTAAAACTGTTACTATATACAATTTGTTTGGGGTGTTTTCAGCACGACAATAATCGTCCTGAATTTAAAAATGCCAAGCGTTAGCTAATTCAGTTGCTTGGAGATATTCTGACGCAGTCAGTATTTTCCATACCTCTTAGCATTCAGCCATATCATGTTTTCTAATACGGTCACTGAAGTTAAGCAACATCGAGCCTGATTACTAAGCCAATGCGTGACTGTATGGAAATTCCTGGTGCTAAAAGCTTGTGTGTACGCATGGTATAATGGATAACGCGTCCTAATTGGACATCACATATCCGAGTCCCTATTCTTATGGTTCTACGCGCAAATACCAAATCGAAAAGTGTTATGGGATCCTCCCCTTTTTCTTATAATTGGACTCGACAAGAGTGTTACTTGAACTGCTGCTGTTAAATACCCAGAGTCAGTCAGTATACAGGGAAGACTGAGATTGTGATTGAGTTGGAGGTAGAGTAATAGTGTGAGGTAACCGCTTGTAGAATTCAGTTACAAGCACGTTGACTCGAAGGAAGTCCTACTTCGAGACTGTATATATATATTATTATTATTGCTACTAACCGCGTCCCTGAATTACTATCAGTATTACCATTGTATTATTGTGTAAATACATTTAATTTCGTATATTTAATTCTCGCGTTTGTCATTCAATGGAGACCGAATTTCATGTCGGAATCCACAACAAAAAAAGTATAAATCCACCTCTTCTCCCTCTGGGTAGGAGTTAATTACTAGGACTTGTATCCATAAATCTTTGTTATCTCAAAAATACTTCTTGCAGTGTAAAATTATTTTCTGGTTTCAGTAACATGCAAAAGTTTGTAAGCCGTAAAAAAATCCGTCAATCCAAATTTATTTTCCTTCAATCATTTGTTTCGCTTTTCATGAAATATTCATTATACAGGGTGTCCATAAAGTACGTGTTCACTTTAAAAAATTTATAACTTTATTTATATTTGCGATAGAAATAATTTGTAAAAAGGATTAGAAAGAAGAAAGGGTATGTTTTTTAAGGATTTATTGAAATTTTATTTAAGTTTACACATGTCCTCCATCATTAGCAATAGAAAGGTTAATATGATTTTGCAGTTCACGGAAAAAAATTGGCAAATGATTCACAGTAATGCCTGAAATCACATTAGTTATTTTAGCTATATTTAAAACTAGGTACATGAAACTTTATAACATTATTTACAGATTATTTCTATCGCAAGTACAAAGAAAGTTATGATTTTTTAAAATGCACACGAACTTTATGGACACCCTGTATTTTAAGTTCTTTCTCAGATACCTCTCTTCTTTTTCTGCTATGACAGTTTGAAAAATTTAACTAAAACCCTTTTAGTGAAAGCAAGAAGAAAAATTGAAGTATGGTTAATATAACTGTCGATTTCTATTAATAAAAGCTGCTCTCCGAGTAACAATTGTTGGTTCGATCTCTTCGTGTAAATCTGTAAGGCATCGGACGCTATCTAAATGGTAACTTTATTTTTACTGTGCTAGCTATTATGGCGGAAAATCAAATCTGAGACGTTTCTCACGTTTCTTTGCATTCCCATCGTTTGGCAAAATTTCAATTGGAATGTTTCCAAATCTGTGCGTAGAATACTGCACGGAAAATAAGAAAAGAAAAATTAAAAACGCAGAGAAAAGAGGCAGGTGGTAGTCAAATGTAAGACATAATAGTTAGTTCAAATAACTGAAGAAGAATTGCTCCGGAGAAATCCGTAATGCAATACGAAGAAACTATTGTGTTCCGGAAATATTTCTTCCACGTACTATGTAGTAATCTTGTACGAGTAAAAACACATTTGTCAATATTTGTCAAAGCAGGGTGAATTAATATTAAGTGTAAGGGAATTAGTTGATATACCAAACAACTTATTGGAAGGTTAATTTTGTATTATATAATAATAATAATAATAATAATAATAATAATATGCAAGGCATAAAAAGGTGCATTGGAAGATAAGCAATAAGCACAAAATCAAAACCGATGATATATCGTATGAGCACCAACCAGGCACAGTTACACAAAATAACGATGTAACTATCCTCTGGGACATACCAATTGAAACTGACAAGGAAATAAAAGCCAAAAGACCTAATATTACCATAAACAACAATAAATTCAGGACGTGTATACTTATTTACGTAGGCTTACTATCTGAGAGTAACACCCCCGTGAAAATTATCATGAAATTGTCCAAATACAAAAGCCTAACTGCAGAACGAGAGTAACAGGATGTGATGAATGAAGACTGAGACTGTATCAGTAGTAATCTCGACTCTAGGCTTCGTGGAAAAAAGAATGGACAATTTTACAAACAGGGTCGCAAAAGACAGATTGCCCATAAGATCGCCCTACGAGAAACATCCTATATACTAAGAAAAGTGCTATCAATTAAATGACAATTCTCCTATAGGGCGTAAGGACTATAGTTTGAACCCAGCTCTGCAGTATACAAAGCAGGAAACATAACAAAAATAATAATAATAATAATAATAATGATCCATTTGCTGCAGCTGCAAAACCGTTAAAAAAGAATGCATAGGCATATGCTCTCGACCAGATACAGAAACATTAGCAGAATAAATCTATTAACAGTCAATATTTTGCCAGTACCAAACAAACTTATTGATTTGGGGCCAAAGTTGGGACCACAGAATTAAAACGCAGAACACGGATTAGATGTAAGAAAGATATATTAACAACAGGTTACAGAGATAGTGTAAGCGGAGCTTACTATATGTTAGTGTCCAATACTGGTAGTCGTACGCGGCTGTCTCTGTCTCTCTCTGTAGAGTGCTATGTCGCTTACTTAATATAGGCCTGGAAGAGTCGATTGTGTAGGTAGTTTCCGGTCTCACAATACTTATGTAGACATCAGTTGCTACGTAGTGCAGGGTTAAAAGCTGAAACCAAAGCGATAATTCTTGCTGAACTGGAACAATATCTTGCTAACCAGAAATTGCCAAGCACACCCATTGAAATATTATTCTGTCATAGGTATCCAGAAATAGTTGTCAAGTTACATGGTAATCGCGGTGGGTCAATATCTGCATTGGAAAATCTGAAACTTTGACGGATAAGAAACTGCAAGAAATTGGTATGAAAACCACCCCGACCCGGTTACAGAGATAAGTCCTGTAATAATTTTATAAGATTTTAATTAACCCAGAGACAGAAAAATCAAAACTAATCAACCTGACATCGTGAACAGAGACCGCAAAAGCAAAATATGTCTTCTTATTGACATGAAAGTTCCCGCAGACTGTAATGTATTTTTGAATATCTTAAAAAAAAAAAAAACAAATACAGGGGCCTTGAAATCGAGATCTCAAAAATATTGCGCATGAGAACATCAAAAACTGCAATTGAGGTTGCAGTTGCAACCTACGGACTGACTGAAAAATATTCCCAATATCATTGAAGATATTACCTTAAAGGAATACAAAGCAATTTCCCTTAAGAGCAGCACACGCCTTACAAAGGGATTTATCTATGTAATATGCGTGATCTTAGATGTTTTGTTTTCTCCACAGATACTTAGTGTAAAATATCATGATGCCATTTCTGACCTTAGGTCTCTGGTTGGGACCCAGAAAGCTATCATTATACATTAGAAATCAAAAGAATATAATAATAATAATAATAATAGCATAAATACACACAGACAGAACAATCAAAGCTAACGGCCAAGACATCGAGATCAAGGAACACAAGAACCAAATCTGCTTTCCTATTTACGTGGCTCTTCCTGCAGATTGTAATATATCAGAAGATCATAAAAAGAACTAGCAAAATGCAAGAAATGTGGCATATAAGGATATCAATAATTTCAGTTGTAGTTTAAGCCGAAGGCGAATCGCGTTGGACCATATCTAAAAGAAATCAAAAAACAAAAATTGTACTCACAACTATAGCTCACACATTACGAATACCTTTATTTATGTAAAATATATGTGATCTTAGTTCTTTTGGGTTTTTTTTTGTTTTGTTTAAATGATCAGTGAAAAATATCAGGAAGCCATTTCTGATATTAAGTTTCTTTTTTGGGACACGGAAAAAATGTATATACAATGAAATCAAATAATAATAATAATAAGAAGAAAAAGAATAATAATAAGATCAACAACACCAACAACAACAGAAGTTTAGAAATTTCCGTTTGCCAACGCCTGCTCAAGCATTTCTCTTTTTTTCAACACCCACAGAACCCACCTGTTGTTTCTACTGCAACTATGCCGAGCAGACATTCAATCTTGTTTGTTGAAAAAACTCAAAACAACGCGTGATTCATTCGTATTTCACAATCATCAAATAGAATCATAATTAAAATTTTTTCCAAGGAAAATCCTTCTTTCCTTGATCCTAAATTATTAGTGACGCGTCATTCTATTTTGTCCTCAGAGTTAGACGTTACTAAAATCTTTCAATTTTCTTTTTCATAACATTGTAATTCATTCATGACATTAGGAATCGAACTGCTTGTATTCGGAATACATTCACCTCGCAATACCCGAGTATATGCCTGTGGTACAAGCATTTAATAATATTTTTTTTTAAAAATCCTTAATTCTCAAAAGAAATAAAATAAGATAAATAATGTTTCTAAATAATATATGTGAACCAATTGCCGTAACAATATAAATAATTTAAATACTCCCACTATTGATGTACGAAACATTTCCACATATATGTTAGTGTTTTCTGAGATGGAGATATTAGAGGATTTTCTTTGTCTATAGGACGTCAGTTGATCAACGAGATCTATGCAAGGAATTCCGTAACAGCTGCAAAGAATTGCCTGTATTTCGGTAGATGGAGGTAGCTCCCATCTGGAATTAACTTTTCTTTTCTGGTCTTGTATTGTGTTTCACTTCCCATCAGGAGATTGCTTTCTTTAAGTTAGCGTGACTCAATTCTATCTCTTCTTCGCCAGCTCAAAAATGATAGTTATATTTTAGTATAATCTCAAGAGTATTATTACATCATTATCGATCCCTTCCACTACATCGGTCCATTGTTGCACACAGTGCATTGTCTGGATTTTTAGGATTTCAAGGTCGTTAAGTTTGCATGAATTTTCAAGAATGCGACGCATAGTTTGTAATTGCCTAGCATTGCCAGTTGGCATCATCATCAGTGGCATATCCCCATTTCGAAAGGTTGGATTTTCACCGACCAATACGTTTTCTGGGGCTATCTAGGCTGGAGCAAAGGAGCCACGCATCACTGCAGGTAGTGGGACGGATCCTGGAGCGCTGAAAGAGAGCCTGCGTTCCAAGTTTTTATGTTGGCTGCACCAGAAAGACATGTAGATTAGGAGTTCTATTGTACAGTAGTTCGACAGAGTGTAGAAAGCTGTATCTTGAATTAAGCCTCTGTGTTCGCAGCCAGGAAGTTGATGAAGAGGGTCTTCAACTTAAGTTGGGAGTGGACTATTCTGATGTAATGGTGAGCAATGCCACTAAGCAAGTAGGGATCATCCACTTTGGTTGGTTTGTGACACCCACTGATTAATTCAGCAAGTGGCGTTTAAGAGGTCGATTTTCTTTCCATGATATGGTCTGCTCCAATCTAGTGAAGCATATTCTTTTGTGGAATAGCAACACCGAAAATACTTCTGATCGGCATAATATATATTTGTAAAGTCTATATTAATACCGACAAATTACATGCACTTAAATAAGAGTATATAACAGAAACTTGTAACAATTAGTATTCTTCTAAATTTGATATTCTAGTTTGTGAAATACACAAATATATTCCAATATGGATTAATGGATAACGGCTCGGATTAAAGAATCGGAGAGCTATGATCGAATTGAGTCGAGTTTATTGCATTCACTTATGTACAATTAACTTGGGAAAGGTATAAATCCATCTCTTGTCCTCTTATGTGTCATATTGCGTAGCAACCAGTATATGGCAAAAACATCTCTGAATTCAAAACCTCCAAATATGAGTTAAATTGCCTCGCCAAGCTTGGTGAGTACGGCTAGACCCGGGAAAATATGGTCAATTAGGGCGAGGTTCCCTGTATTGGGTTTCAAGTGCAAATTATACAACCAAATGAAATTTATTCGCACAAAAATGTTTTTAAATATTAGTGTACAAAAGACGGAAAATGCGACGCTGAGATCCAAAGACATTGTGTGAGCCAAAGAGGTATTTCAAAAGATAAGCATTAAGAGACAGAATAAAAATTTCGTTAGAAACAAAGAAAACAGTACTGAACTAGTACGTGTTCATCTATATAGCAGTGAATACTGGACAATCTGCCCAATGATGAAGATGAGACTTGATGAAAAAGAAATGTGGTTCTAGAGAAGGATGGGGAGGATATTATGGACTGAACATTTGATCAAAGGACGAGGTTTTAGAGAAAATGGAAACAAAAAGGAAACATATAATTAACATCAGGAAAAGACAATTGAAATTTCTGGGGCAAGTAATGAGGAAGGATGGTTTGGAAATTCTGATACTCAAAAGACAGATTGAAAGCAAGGGCGACAGAGGGAAAAAAACGCATAACGTGCTTGACGAGCTTGAGAAAATGGACATCGAATTATATATTTATATAACAATATAGAAAGTTATTGTTATTGATTATTGATTGATTTGCTGTTCGGCTACGCGCCATAACTCACACCACTCCTCTTGCCTGGAGTAGATGCCAACGACAGCAAGGGGGAAGGCGGTGACTACTCCTCACAGACGGAGTGGTCTGGCGCAGGTGGTACGCACGCAAACGCGTGCACAAATATTGATTGAAAACATACGCCCCCAACCCGTATATATATATTTTTATTTTATTTATGTATTTAGATAATTTATTTTATTTTCTCTCTCTCTCTCTTTCTTTCTCTCTCTCTTTCTCTCTATCTCTTTCTTTCTCTCTTTCTCTCTCTCTGTCTGTCTCAGCCAAGGCTAACTGGCTTAATAATATCCATATTGTTTAATATGCTAAGGAATTGTGACTGTTTGTTGAGGAGTCCTTATTATTCTGGAAATGACATGTTTCGAAATTGTTCCTACCGGCATAAGATAAACGATTATGATGTTGCTTTTGTAGAAGCACATTTTTGTCAAAATTTTCCATTCAACTGTAGGAATTTAATCAGTGTTTATATTTCCGTAAAGATAGATATTTAGACAACATTACTTTACTTATTATTATTAAATATATATTTAATGATAGTAGAATACTCCTTTGCAAAGATATTCTGGATTTCGTAACATTAGACGTTTCGCCATCTAATCTGAAGGTTGCTTGAAATAGTACATTTTTTTGCAGACATAAGCATTTATCGGAGAACAATGTTTATATCTACAAGCGGAGAAACTATTAACTGCGTCTCTTCTTCAGCACTTCATCATTGCATTTGTTTTATCACAGCATTATTTATCGATGCAGATATAACGCATTTTTATTGTGTTCTTTTTTTTAACCATATGCATTTTTATGAACAGCTTATCAATTACCTTAATGAATGGTCTCCTGACACTATTTCTTTTAAAACTGATGGTTTTCTCCTCATCAATGAGAAGATGCACTATAGCAATACCTTGAACGGGTAGCCAGTAATTGTAACGTACTTTCACAATAATTTGAATTGGTAAAGATTGCATTGTTATTAGAAAAGAGAGACAAGAAGAGTGTCGGTACAGTCAGTAGTGGCGTACGTAGGGTAATTGGCTTATCTATATTTAGATATAACCCCTATATATATATATATATATATATATATATATATATATATATATATATACACCCTGTTATATGTATACGCCTATATGTGTGCCTCTGTGTTACTTACGATGGGCTGACTTTTTTTTCCCCAATTTTACAAAATCTGTCCTAATTTGCAAACAATTTCGGACCGGTCTGAAAACTTTTTCGCGTGGATGTATGGGAATTTGTTTTAAGTGGCCGTACACCCCCACATATATATATATATATATATATATATATATATATATATATATATATATGTATGCATATATATATATATATATATATTACATTGTAATACTTATGTATATATATATATATATATATATATATATATATATATATATATATATATATTACCTTGAAACACACACACATACGTATATATTGCAATACATATACATATACCTGTTCCTTATAATATATATACATATACATTCATATATATATATATACATCGATATATATACACACATATATGCAAATATATATTTATTGCAACACTATATATATATATATATATATATATATATATATATATATATATATATATATATATATATATATATATTCACGTTCAAGCTAATATTATTCTATCAAGATTTCTTGAATATTCAAGAAAGTAGATGTAAATAAATAAATATACTCTTTAATAAATAAATAAAAACTGAACATCTACTTATATGTGAGTATACATTAAAAAATAACGTTTAAAATAATTAAATTAAAACCTATCGGATTTCATCCATTTCCTAAACAAATATCCGCGCGTGGTTTAACCTTTCAGTATGCATTTATGGAAAGCACATGTAAATGCAATTTGGCTTGTTTAAAATACAATTACTTCCTCTATCCCTATTAACAATTCCCGTCACGTTTTATAAAATCAACCGTGAAAGTAATTCTATATATACTTCTGAGCACACCTATCAATAAAATAACGTGTGTTCTATAAATAACTAGAAAGCGGATATAAATAATTCTTTTACATTTGCCAAAAAATAAATGAACGGAATAGAAAAATACGGAACAGCATTTGCGTTTTGAGATCATCTAATCCTTTGTCAGGGAGAACGTGTCCCAGTTTATCTTGATTAAGTTTTCTCAATTTTCTTTTGGCGATTCATTTTATTAGAACTCAATTTACAAAGAAAGATCCTGATATTGATAGAAGCAAAATGTCAGAGAACAATGCACCTGACTGCATACCATTCTTTGACTTCTGTGATAAAATCATGATATTGCAGCGTAGTTTTTATATCATTTTCTTTATAGAATTTCACCGTCACGAGATACATTTTCGGTCTGAATCTCTTACAACTACGGGTAGCCTTAACTGTTAGTCTAAAAAATACAGGGAAAAATGAAATATAAGGACTGCCTTTCTTCAGTAAAGGAGTAATTCAAATCAAGAATGTTTATTTAGGTTTGTACATCGAACCTATTCATCAGTAATACTGTGTTGCAGGTCGCGTCTTGCTTCACGAGGTATATCGGCAATTCCTCAGTCCCCCACGCTGTATCACATAGAATGAAAGAAGGATTATTTTCTTAAGTTTCTTTTGTCCGCTTTCTTTCGTTGGAGACACTAGGAAAAGCAAGAATGGGATATAGAGGACGTATCTCAAAAGGAAGACCACCTGCTTGCTGTCAAAATTTCGCGACTTGTCCGAGTCAACTCAAGCTAGATACATGAAAGATTCGTTTTTGTTCGTCTTCTAGTAAAACTGAATACAAGATAATTCACAACTTTCAGAATTTTACGCCCAGAGTGATTAAATCTCTATCAAATCAGTTCGGGTTATTAAATGTCTTATGGGTACGATATGGTTTGAAATTTTGTGCTAGACTATGTATTTTTAAATGTAGGTAAACAACAGAAATGCGGTTCTACAGAAGCATGATGAGAATTCCAGGATCGAATCTGTGAGCGACGAAGAAGTTTTCAGGGAAAATAAAAATAAAATTCTCTTATATTTCCCATCATTTAGAAGCAGTTGAGATTTTTAGGTGACGTAAAAGAATGCAGGCAAAAGGTGTTTCATGAAAACACATTGAATGAATGTGGAGTATGGCTAAAGATCACATAAAATCCTTTCAAGGCATTTGTGAGAATGTGAGTCAGAACATGAGCCCGGATTCTTTATAGCTCTCGCCGAAACGAAAACTGTTAGGCAATCCCTGATTTTGACAATAATAATAATAATAATAATAATAATAATAATAATAATAATGAGATAGGACTTGTTACAATTCTATTGGACTACACAGTATAAACTGACAGAACAATCAAAGCCAACCGCTTAGATAGTGTTATTAAAGACCACAAACAAAAAAAGTCCCTCCTTATTGATATGGCAGTCCCTGCTGACTGCAATGTATCTTTGAAGATATTCAAAAAGCTGTCAAAATACAAGGACCTTGAAATAGAAATCTCGAAAATGTGTCATATGGGAACATCAACAGACCCTGTTGTAGTTGGAGCCCTAGGACTGGTTGGAAAAGATTGCAGTAGATTAATTGAAGGGATTCCTGGAAGTCCATGCCTCAAGGAGATACAAAAAATTGTTCTGACAAGTACAGCCTACACTTTACGAAGGGCTTTATCTATGTAATTTTTTTTTGTTTGTCAGTGGAAAGTGTCATGATGCCATTTCTAACCTTAGGTCCCTGGGCGGGACCCGGAAAGAAATGTGTAAACGCCAGAAATCAATAATAATAATAATAATAATAATAATAATAATAATAATAATAGATGAAGAACCCTGTTTAGCTCCTCTTCACCTTTAAAGAAACTGTTTCTTTCTCTATCAATTTTATTCGTTTGGTTTTGTTATTTTACTTCAGCTGTTAACGTGAAATTAAAAACATAAAGAGGCTTCTCAAGTTGGTCTTTTCTGTTAAATAAAATGTACCATGAATCCTAATTATTATTATTTTATAAGCGTACTAGTGACTCGGCTAATCCTCTACATGTGAAGATTCAATGTCTTTTCTGGCCAAAGTATAGCTTATATGTCTTTCTCTCAAAGGCATGTAAATTAATCAGTTGGATTTTAATTAAAACTCACTGAGACGTTGAATATTACTCAACATGTCCCAGCATTTCTTAGAATAGAGGTTAACTCGATCATTTAAATAAAATGTTTGGCGTCATCCGGGTCGGTATTCTGATATCACATTATTAAAAATTATTTTTTATCAGATTATCTTTAAAATCCTCGAGACAATTTATTTTATATAAAGACAGCAATGCATATGCAAAGAAATGGATATTTTTTTTAGGACTTAGTTTCCTCAATATATTATTGATACGTGTGCCTATTATTTATCATGTTTCAATTTCTGTCATATTGTACAACATTTTACTTCTGTCGATCGAGTTCTGGCGACAGATGACCGATAACTGGTCAAATCATTCTATAGGTTTTTTTCTTTTATTTCTTTTCGTATTGTTTACTACTAAATCTTAATTTTGTATATATTAATTATATTTTGTCCCTCTTATAAGTTTATTTATTAACTGTCTATATTTCTGAGATAAGGTATTATCTACACTATTTACATTATTCGGACTATTGTCCTCATCACTGTCGCCATATTTATTACAACCTTTCGGCCGTTTTACGCTCCGGGCTGCTTCAGGTAGTTTGAATGTCAAGCTGCACTCTTTATTTTGCTCATAATGCAATGTTTGCTGTTATTCATATTTATTACACCGTAATAAATATGGATACCAACAAAAAATGTAATATGAACACTGATAAAAAATGGTTGCTTAAGACATTAGTTTTATAATAGCGTGATATTCATACATGAGAACTCATGGCACAGTGGATAAACGTGTCAGTTAGATCCAGAGACAGTAACCAAAGAGTGAGAGTTCAATACCAGGTTAAGGCAGTGTTGGAGAGGGGAATTAACTGAAGATAACTGACATCCATTAAACATGGTATGTGGAACTAGAACACTCTACCCCAGTGAGCGAAATAAAGGGATTAGTTCGACATTCCAACCACCTGAAGAAGGTTGGAGCGTACAATGAAACGCTGCAATAATATGGCGACAAATATGACTACATTAATGTATAAAGTTTATTTATGTTTTAAGTTTCTTAACAGCAAATAAAAATAACCGCTTCATTTAGTGTAACCCTTAACACAAGTGGAAAGTAAACGGCCGAAAACTCAGGAGAAATACATTCACGAAATACATATTCAATGTTTA